TTTTGCCTTAATAATTAATAAATTGATAAGAAAACTCTTTGCATTCATTCTTTCATTTTTCATTTTGTTGAAAACCAAACAGGACATTTACCCAATATAACTGAAATCCTATTGATATTTTTGACACAATAAAAGTACAAAAGTGTTGCCAAAGTACTTTGGAATGATGACAAAACCAGAACAGATGAGTGACGGACTCTGGGCAAGTGTCACAGAAGGAACAGCTAACATCAATATCACAGTTGAATTTCTTTGAATAGACCTTAAGATTCTGTGTATGAGTTTAAAGGATACTTCTTTAACCTTGTTAGTGAGAAGAAAGTGATTTGGGAGCAGCCAGATAAATTTCCAGGACATATTAATATGAAAACGATCCCAGTTTGGAACAACCACGGAAACAGAGGTCTCTTCCTTCTGAAACAGGGATCTAATTAATTTATTATTTTTACGAGGAACAGGGTTAAGACAGATTTTGCCAACAGGAAAATGTATGGGAGTCAAAATGGGAGAATAACTGATTCTTGGTTTCTGTTTGAATAACATACAAATTTCAGACGAAATAGCACCAAAAACTTTGGCATATTCTCCAGGAGAGACAGGAAAATGGAATTTAGAGAAAAATTCTTCATAACTCAGCAACAAACCATCATTGTTAAACAATTGGTCAACCATAATAATATTATGAGTAAACCAAGAATAAAAAAAAAATAATTTTCTTCCTATATAAAATGTCCTCATTATTCCAAATAAAATACCAGTGAGGAGAGAAGTTGTGTTTATAGATCAGTAACCATGATAAAAAGGCTCCGTCATGCTGGTTTTCCTTCCGTATGAGCGCCACACGCGTCACGTCACGTGACTAAGAAAACGTAACGGGATTGGCTGGGTGTTGGACGCCACAATCCATTGCTAATGTCTGTGACCTGAAGTAACCCTTCCCTTTTTACACTGAATTTAGACGCCGAATTTAAGACGGTGAAATAGAGCCAGTTGAATCTCAGGAGGCTGAAAATATTGAGTTTGAATTTTGAAAGGTTGAATTTTTTTATCTGCAGATTTTTTTAACACTGAAAAATAAGTATTGAAAATGTAATCACTCTGAGATAGTAATATAAATTTTTAGCTTGAAGAGAAAATAACAAATGAAATTAAAATGAATTTTTTTAGGTCAAAAATGTGTTCTGAATATATTTTAACACTGAAACAGTAAGTACAAACATACATTTAAATTTCAGTGGCATTTTTTATTCAAATCCCAGCGACACAGATTAACTTCCATATTTCTGATGCGAGGCTGACGTCATAGATCAACATCTTCCTCTCTTTCCCCCCCACCACAGCTGCGCACAGCTCAGGATAAGATCGAGGAGATGGAGATGACCAACAGCCACCTGGTGAAGCGCCTGGAGAAGATGAAGGCCAACAGGAACGCTCTTCTGTCCCAGCAGTGAGGCACGCAGGTGCCACAAAGCCCTTAAACTCGCACCGCAGACCTCTGACTGCCACGCTGCGTCTGAAGCACACTTTGTTTTCAGCTGTAACACTCGGAAATGTGCAGCTAACCAAAACACTTCAATCCTGTAGCAGAGGAAACAAGCCGGGACTTAATTTTTGTTAGGTTATTTTTATTTTTTTTGGGTAAACATGGGATTTATCTGGCAGGCTGCCGGATCTCTGGGAGGAACGACTCTGAAACCAAACTAATAACTATGAACCATGGTGGGAGATGCAGCTGAGCAGATTCTCTTGTCACTACTTAATTTTTCCGACCTTTGTACGCGATGGTGTTATCCAGGAGACGTTTCCCCCTCTGGCTGGGTGCTTGGCTCTACTTTCTGGACAGGTTGCATGAACGGGTCTAACGACGCTTTGAAACTATTAAATCTACTTGCTGCTCAGAGTCTGCACCTTCCCAGCTTCCCTTCACGCAGTGAAGTGCCTTTTCACATTAGATGATGATGGGGGGGGGTCTGCACCGCACCGCGCCGCTCAGCTCAGTGAAACAATAATTGTTAGGACAGGTACGGTATGATGTATTTAAAGAAAAATAAAAAAGGGTGCAGTCATGGTGTGAAAGTATAAAGAAATAACTGTATCTGCTGCAGTTTCTTTGAATTTTTTTCAAATATATTTAAAGATTTCTGGAAAATAAATGAATGATTTACAGATCTGTGTTTAACATCTGTTATTTACAGCTAAACCAGTTTGGATTTGTAAAAAACTTCAGATGGTTAAGTGTTTTTTTTCCCACAAAGTTAAAAGGATAAATCAGCATAATTTAACATAATGCAAAGAAATCAGCAATGAGTGCACTATAAAGGGTTTAAGTCATGGAGAAGATTACTCTCTGATGAAACGTGAGGTTAGTGGAAGGAAAAAAAGGTGCATAAGATGTAGTGATGAGGAAAGAGGAGCAGAAGGGATGGAGTGCCGCTGGAGTCAGAGTCGCCGACCCAGATGGATCCAGGAGGTGATTCCCCCCACTGCAAAAACAATCTAGAAATAAGTAAACATTTCTTCAATTTATCCTTATTTACCCCTAATTTGAGTAGGTAAATAACATGGTTTGCCAATGGAATGAGTATTTTTACTCTTAAAATAAGATAATCAGATAATAGGCACTTGAAATAAGACAATGTAATTGTTTTTTTTTTCTTCTTGTTTTAAATGGAAATTGTCTTGTTCCATTGGCACAGTGTCTCCATTGCTTACTTAATTCAAGAAAAAATGCACTTATTTGAAGAAAAAATGACTTAGTTAGTGAAGCTTTAAGGTGTCATGGCTGCTGGTTCTGGTTTACTGGGGTTTTAAAGCAAACTGGACTTCCAGAACTCCTGTAGAACCACAGGCTGATGGAGTTCAGTTCATATGCAAATGTATCGGATTGCTCATTTCTGAGTCAAACTTCCTGTTTTACTTGGGTTTGACTATGATCTGTGTAGAAATTTGAGCTTTATTTTCATATCACAGCATCTCATATTGCTGGAGTGTCGTCTGTAGAGCAGAAACCATCAAATACTAAAACTTGATTTGTTTAATAAAAAACAAAATTACTTGATTTCATTCAAAACCTGATAAAGGTAAAGAATGAAGCTTGAATCATCTTTCATTTTCATCATTGATTCTAAAAAACTACCTGCAGCAGAAGCTTTCCTGTATCGACGTTTACTGCTTTAAAATCCAACACATTGTTCGAAAAGTAAAATAATTCACTGGACTTTGTTTCCAAGTTGAGTTTAAGCCTCAATGCTATTTCTGACATTTTGAATTGAAAAAGCTTCCTGGATGAGAAGCGAAACGTCTTCAAACGTGGAAACAAAGTCCAGTGGATTGTTTTTAACTTTTTTAGAACGACTATGACCTGGATGACTGAGAATCTTCACCAGCATCCAACACATTGGTTTCTTTGATGGAAAATGAGCTCTATGACAGTCTGATCGCAGGCGTCCCCAAAATCAGTCCTGGAGGGGCCCTGTCCTGCAGCTTTTAGGTTTCTTTGCTCCTGCACAGCAGATTTTAATTGAAAGCTGATCAAGAAGCTTTTGCTCAACTGCAATCATCATAATCAGCTGTGCTAAAGCAGGGAAACCTCTAAAACCTGCAGGACAGCGGCCTTCCAAGACCAACATTTGGGAAGTCTGGATGGGTTTGGGACATTTCCTTATTGATCCTATTAAAGGTGGGTTTATTTTGTTCCCATTTGCCCTTAACCCTTTATAGGGCAAGTTACCATTTTTGATCACTTGCATACCACTTACAAATGGAGTGCCATTTATTTTACTCTGTTTTTCATGAATTTCTTATAGAAATACTTTTATTTTTCTTAATATTTACAGGCAAGTTGGCATTTCTTGTAATTACATTGACATTCATTTATGCCAGCAAAATATACATATTTTTTTTACTTTACAAAGGTAATAAGGTCTTGTCCTGGATTCCAATAACACACACTGGAAAAAATCGAAATCTAGATCAGTCATTTTTTTCCTAAAATAAGTACATTTGTTCTTTGAGTTAAAAAAATACGTTTTGCCAAAGGAACAAGACAATTTACAATTAAAATAAAAAAAACACAATTGGTTTGTCCTATTTAAAGTGCATATTATCTTATTTTACGAGTATAAATACTCATTCCATTGGTATACTATCTCATTTATCTACTCAAATTAAGGGTTAATACACTTAATTTAAGACTTTTTTTTTTTACTTATTTCTAGATCGTTTTTCCAGTGCACTACAAAAATTCTTTAAATTTGTGAAAATATCTTAAAATATGTGTATTTACCCTTAATTTGAGTAGGTAAATAAGAAAATCTCCCAGCTGAAGGAGCATTTTTATCCTTAAAATCTGATTATTTGATATTATGCTCTTGAAATAGGAGACTGTATTTTTTCCACTTATTTTAAATGTTAATTTTCTTATTCCATTTGCAAAGAATCTCACTTACCTGCTCAGTTCAAGGGGAAAAAAAATGCACTTATTTTAAGAAAAATTTTAGTTTTTTGCAGTTTTGAAGTCTTTCAATGAATGCCCTATAAAGGGTTAAGTTAAACTTTGGATAAAACATGGTTTCTAATAAACATAATTTTAATCATAAGGCAGCTTAACAAGTGAAGCCTTGTTTAGAGAATCCCAGCCCTGAACCAATGAAGCGCCACCTTGTGGCCGAGTTATGAAACTTTAAACTTTTCTAGAAATTGTAAATCAATATAAAGAAGTTTTTTAACTGCATTATTGTTAAACTGATGAGTTTTCCCATTTAGAAGAGATTAAAGCAGAGTTTAAAATACTCTGAATCTGATGCTATTGGACTGTTTGGATTATCCAAGAGCGGGGTCTGCGTTATGATATCAGGGCCTGTATGTATAATATTCAGATAACTTAGAGTCAAACTGAACTTTTTTTTTTCTTAAATGTGATCTGGATGAATACTCTGAATGTGTGGCGTTTATGGTCGACGTGTTTTTGGGACTTCTGGTGTCATAAATCAGCATTTTCTTTTGTACAAATTTATTTACAGAACAAGTGATTCACGTATAAAACAGCAGCTCTGGAGGCGTTTCGTGTCTCAGCATCGCTCGAACACTTTATAGAGGTCGGGCAGGTTGGCGATCTGCAGCACGCTGCCGTCCTCGCTGAAGGTTTTCGGGGGACTGAAGAGCGTTCGGAAGGCTTTGAAGAGGACGTGTTCCACTTTCCAGCTCCAGGAGCACCCCTCTGCCTCCTGGAACACAGGCAAACATTAAACACCTGAAGGCAGGTTTTTCTCGTTCCGGTAAAGTCGGACCTCCTTACCGGCTCCTCCCCTGGCTCGGCCTCCAGGACGTACTGCTTCCTGATGGAGTAGAAGGCGCTGCACTCCTTGCTGAAGTCCCTGAAGCATTCCTTCTCATTGTCCCAGTTGACCTGCATGCAGGAACCTGCAATCAGTGCCTTTTTTCCTAAACTCTAGAGGAGAAATCAGGGCTCTCACCTCGGTGGCAAGGCGGAGGATGAACATGGGGAGGCCTTCCATTATAGGCGTGTATTTATCCAGGAGGAGAGGCAGTCCTGTTAGGTTTCCTTCCTGTTTTCACACCTCGTTAGTTACTCATCCCACTGGAAGAGAAGCTTTAAAGAAACACAGACCTCACTCCTGACCTGGTCTATCTCCATGGAGAAGTAGTCCTCCAGCATCTCTGCTTTCTTCTTCAGGAAGTCCACGATGTACTGAGCCAGGCCCTCCTTGGGCCCGTCCTCCTCCGTCCAGCCGCTCTCCTCCGAGTCCAGCGCCAGCATGGCCAGGTCATAGAGAGGCGCCGGCGTCTGAGAAACACAGGATTCCCATCGATTAACAAGCCGCTCGGCTCATTGCGGACCTGCTGACATTCAGCTCTACTTACAGACAGTCTGAGGACTCCAAAGTTTCCAAAGTCATAGATGAGAATCTGGTAGAAAAGCTCCTGACTGCAGAGAGGAAGGAAAGAAGAGAGCTGGTTCTGATGCATGCTATTTAATTGGGATTTTCACCACTAAATAGATAAAAACACGGTAATTCTGCTGCGTTCAGACCTGAGTTTGGTGGCGTTCAGCAGGTAGAGCTTAGTGTGATGCTGGATCAAAGCCCACTGTGGATTGACGCAGCCGACGAAGGAGTGCTTCTGCAACATTTCCTGCAAACCTGCAGAGAAAAACAAACGGGAACCATTTTTTTTCTTTAACCTTCCTCCGTTTAGAGGAAGTATAACCAGCACTAAACCATATTGTTTGGTGGAGTTATGTTGGCATGGCAACAGGAGGGTTTGGGTTGCTTCTCTGCGGTGAGGACAGGATGTGATGGAGGCAGGAGTTGCGTAAACAGGCCGTGCCCCGGACGGGGGGTGAACCAGAGGAGGGGGGAAAAAATGAGACCTGAGGAGGGATCTGTTTGTGCACGCCTGGTGAACGTGATCCAAGAACGCTGCAGGACGGCAGAGGCCGTACCTTTGTGCGTGTTCTCCGTCACCTCGGCTCTCAGCTCTCTGACGCTGGTCAGTTTGATCACCCGCCTCTTGGGCGTAGCTGCCGCCGTCATCTCGTCATCCTCCCTCTCTGGAGGCTGACGGTTCTCCTCTCTCGGTCGCTTCCTGGCACAGAAACAGACAAACACACTGACTCCTACAGAAAACCTCCACAATAAAACATGACAGATGAGCATTGACTGAAAAGCAACATTTCAGCCACTAGGGGGCAGGAGAGCTACACGCTCTGAGGTAAAACTGTTCCATTAAAACACTAAAACCAGTCCTGGTTTTCCCAGAAATCCATAAATAACCACGGCAGATGGAACCAGCGGGACAAAGACGTCCTTTATGAGCAACAATCTGTTCAACTTTCTCCTTCCTGATCCCTCGGCCAACACATTTTCCTCAGGTTGATGTTCAGACTTGCTCCTGCGCTCGACTCATCATTCATCGCCTGTCCTGATCCGACTTGCTTCTGCTTCCTAGAGCCGCTCTCTCACAAACATCATGATCAAAACCTGTCAGGAGGTTTTTTTAACCCCCCGAAAAACAACGAAGTTAAAACGGTGGAGGGTTAAAATTCACGTGGAGAGTGTTTTAAATAAAACTGCTCCTATTGATGATTATATCATGAATTTCTGCTGTTTTTCTGTCCATTTAATAACTTTTTGAGCAGAAAAGGTTGAAGCTGTCAGAATGTTTACTGTTCAGGTGCAGAAAAAATCAGATGATTTTTTTTTTTTTTTGAAAATCACTACACTGCAAAAAATGTCAAACTAAACAAGTAAAACTTCCTTGAATTAAGTGCATTTGTTCTTGACTTGAGCAGGTAAGCGACATACTTTGCCATTTGAATTAGATAATTTACATTTAAAATAAGAAAAAAAACAACTGCCGTCTCTTATTTCAGGTGCATAATATCTGATTATCTTATTTTAAGGCTAAATACACTCATTCCATTGGCAGATCGTCCCATTTACCTGCTCAACTTAAGGGTAAATACACTTATTTTAAGGATATTTTCACTCGTATTACGATGGCTTTTGCAGTGTAGTGGCTCGTTTTCTCGACAGTAGGCTGACAGGAAAGGTATGAGAGATGAAGAGAGACATGTGGCGAAGGACCACATGTCGAAATCGAACCCGGATTGGCCGCATCGACGACTAAAGGCCTCCGTTGGTCGTTGGTTGTGCGCGGTAACAACTGAGCCTCCTGCAAACCCATCTAACTTCTAACCCAGGATGCTCCTCTGTGCTCAGAGCCACTTCATGGTTTTCTAAACCCCCTCGTCACACCTTGATGATTTAGACCAGCGTAGGCCTGACGTACGAAAAATCTGGCAAACGGTGAATAAGTTATGGGTACGTGGAAACATGCTGGCACACGTCGACATATGGCGACTTCGTCGGGATGTATGTCTTACATGAGCCACAAGTTACAGGTAAGTTATCTGATCGTTGACATGCATTAAGTGTAAGTTACTCATAAGTTGTGGTGTCCAGCTTATCCAAAACCTTTGAGTAACTTCTCCTCCAGACTTCATCCCCATCATAAGGTGAGCCAGAAGCTGAGTCTGATGGATCCTCCCTGCGTTCACGCCCACCACCAAAAAACTTCCTAGAAGACATGACGCTCAATCTGCTGCGACCGCAAACATTTTTTTTATTTATTCTGGGGTTTTTTTTATGCTTGTGCATCCTTTAATGGGTATTGTCAGGGTTCCTACAGCATAAGGCAAGTTAAATTCAAGACTTTTTAATAGGGATGCACGATATAATCGGCCCCCTATCGGTATCGGCCTTAAAACTGAATATCGGACATCGGCCACCCCACCGATATTTAACCCGATATTTGATCAGCTTCTGAGTTTCTAAAGTCTAACAAAAAAAAATAAGTACTACTACTTCTTGTTCCTAAAAAAACTTCTTTTTTACAGACTTAAAAACTTCTAAAGATGAGGGAAAAAATATTGATACATTAAAATATCACAATATCTTCATATGCTGATATATTGCCATTTAAAAACACCATATCAATCTCTTTTACTAATGAAATATTGCTATATGTCATCGTTATGCTACGAAATCCCCCGAAAATTCACAAAATCTTGCCATATTTTTAAATGTTGATATATTGACGCGGTATCGATCTATTTTACTAACAAAATCTCACAAGAATTTGCAAAATATCACGAGAGTTTGTAACAGAACGATGAAATTTCACGAGATTTTGAAAGTAAAATAGATCGATACCGCGTTTTTGATATCAGCATATGAAAATATATTTGAGTATATTAGTGTCAGAAATGGATAACAAAACTGCTATTTTCAATGACTACTTATTTTTGTCCAGCTTTAACATCGGTATCGATATCGGTTATCGGCTACATGAGTTTTAAAATATCGGATATCGCCCAAAATCCCAATATCGTGCATCCCTAGTTTTTAATGCCACTTGAAATAAAAATTTAAGACCAAATTCACAAGAAAGACAATAAAAACCCGCTTGCGACAACTTAACCCAAAGGTTTATTTTAACATAAACCACTGCACTAATGTTTCAAAGTTTGAAAAGCTTCCCAAACAGGAAGAAAGCTAAAAACACACAAATGACAGATATATTTGAACAATTATTTAACTGAATTCACAAACTTTGTTTTAGCAGGGAACAAAACAAATCAGTTTTAAAGCCCCAACATAACCAGTGCTAAGTCTTTTTTGCAGCTATTTTTCTTTGTATGGTTTTCTTAGTATGTTTGATTTGGTGATAAGAGGAGGCGTTGCAGAGACAAGGGTGGAACTAAACTGAGAAATACCGGCTGTTTCTCTGTAACTCCATTTTGACGCTTTGTGTTTTGTGCTTCGCATGTGCGACTCCACTCCCTTAAAGGGATAGTTCGGGATTTTTGACATGAATCTGTATGGCATCCCCATCACCAGTGTCATGCAATCCCACTGACTTACCCCTGGCAGCGTCCTGTGAGCAGAGTTCTCGTCCAGCTTTGGTCAAGCCGAAAGTAGTCCGGCAGGTTTGCTAGACCCAGCGAAATAAAAAGTTTCTCTTCCCAAAACATTATGTGTTCAAAAGAGTGATATTTTTGCATCCCAAAAACATTGTAGTGGAAAAAGTCACACGTCGTTATCACTTGGTCCTATTTTCTCTCTGTTCGTATCAGTGCGCGCCGTCATTCTGACAGCGAGCTCAACAACAACCAGATGCATGTCTCGCTCCGCCTAGCTCCTAGACATGCATCTGGCTGTTGTCAGGTTAGTAGGCCCTAGCTGTCAGGTCATGGTGTCGTGCTGCCAGGGGTAAGTCAGTGTGATTGCATGACACTGGTGATGGGGATGCCATACAGGTTCATGTCAAAAATCCCGAACTATCCCTTTAATTCCCATCGTTCTGAGCTTGAATGACTTCTTGCACTAAATCCACTGAGCCTCATGTATGTTCCCTGGTTTTAGCCGTGGAGAAAACTCTTGGCTGGAGACAATTTTGGTTACATTTACACTTGATCATATTTTCCAGACAAAAAGTTAATGGTGCATCTCGCAAATGTCGCGCCCGCAACAACGCTTTATTGGTTCCGCTATCGGGACGGAACCAATAATGGCGAGCCGTTATTTTATTTTTATGTAAAAAAAAAGGGTCAATTTTAATGTTTTATTTAGATTACAAAAATAAATCATAATAAAAATAATCCTATTTATGATGATTTAAAAATTAAGACCTACAAAAGACTGATTTAAGACATTTTAATACCAATTAAGGCCTTAGTTTTATTTTGAAGAAATTAATGCCTTTTAAGACTTTTTAAGGACCCGCTGGAACCCTGTTTATGCTGCAGTGCTTTATGCATAAGTTAGGCTGTCGTTGGACATAAGACTCGTTATGAATACTGTATATATTTATATACGTCCAAATTTGAAAAAATACTAATAGTTGATCGTACGCCAGCGTTTTTGGAGATACTGGGACGTCAGGCAGACGCTGGCTAAATCGGTAATGTGTGACAGGGGCTGTTAGAAAGTTTCTCTAGATTCTTTGTCAGCTGTAGAAGTCAAACTTTTTTCTTTGAAATTCTTTAACTCCTTGAGTTTCTTCCCAATAGAATTGGGCTTTAGACGGAACTGTTAAAGATCACCTTGGCGCCTCCTCAGCAGTGACGCTGCCTTCCTCTCTGCTTTCTTCCACCTGTGCTTCCTGCACAGCCTCCAGCATCTCTGCATCGTCTGCGTCGTCCATCTCCAAACTGTCCGGCTGAGCCGCCCCCCTGCTGGGACCGGGCTTCTCGGGGTCGGGTGCCGGCCTTTCTTTCGGCTGCAGGAAGGCGTCCAGTTTCTGCGCGCGGCAGTCGGTTCTCACCATCTGGTGGGCGTAGACGCGCTCGGCGGACTCCGCCGCGGAGCTGGATGCCTTCATCTCGGTTCCACCAGAAACCGACAGCCCAGGAAGCAACGTCTGGAGATGGAGACACCGAAACAATAAGCAGTGGAGCTGAAGGACCCACCGCTGATGGAGATCGGTGCAGTCGCAGCAAACCTGAGTGAAATACGTGCGGGAGGAATTGGAGCCCAGCAGTTTGCTCTCCACGTGCTTCTGAACGCTCTCGATCACGCTGTCCTCGTGCAGGAAGTGCACCTCGTGTTTGGTAGGGTGGACGTTCACGTCGATGTTCTGTGGGGCGATTTCCAAGCTGCAGGAGTTAGAAAGCATCACATTAATACACAGCATCCTCCATTTAATATAGAAAAAAACAGAATGAAATGAATCTGAAGCATAATATTGAGCCATAAACCACAATATCCTGCCCCCCCACTGTGCTTAGGGACAAAGCAGCTCCTTCATGCTTGTCTCATCATTGCGGCTGATCCTGAGCCAGCCATGAAACCTGCAGACCGACCGGAGGCTAAGTGGAACCGGTGGCTAATTTCAGAAAACTAAACCTTTTCCCAAAGCAAAGATCAGCAGAGGTTAAAGCTACAGTGTGTAATAATTACAGGGATATACAGTCAGAAATGTAATATATTATACATAACTATGTTATTTATCATCATCTACGAGCTCAGCCTCTTAACCTTAATATTTGCGTTGCCTTAGAATTCGTTATTTATAATTACATAGGAGCGGGTCTTGCAGCCATGGAGGCAGACATCTTTGCGCTACGGCAGCGCAGAGCAAACAAACTAGCGATTGCGAGATCGCCAAAACGTCACAACGATGTAGAAAAAATAACGGGTATATTTATTATCTTAGGTCTACATGAAATCTATACCCTACACAGACTAATGAAATACTATCTGTAAAATTATCTATGTAAACAAACCTCATCACTTGAAAAGGTAGGTGATGCGGACGTCGTGGAAGACATTTTGTCCCGTAACGCTCGCCGTACTGTTGGGGGGGAGAAGCGGTGGGGGGGAGATGTTCATGTTGCTGCGGTCTGCAGTCTGACCGCTAGATGTCGCTAAAAGTTACACACTGTAGCTTTAAAGGTCTGGCAAAGTTTCTAGTTACCGTATTTTCCGCACTATAAGGCGCACCTAAAAAAACTCAAATTTCTCAAATATCTCAAAAGCCGCCTTATAATCCAGTGCACCTTATATATGGCAACTACGGTAAGCAGATGGTGTCAAAAAACAAGTGAAGAACACCAATTCAACACTCGTCGTCATTCCGGGTGGATTGACAGAAGAACTCCAGCCGCTAGACGTTGGCGTCAACAGGGCATTCAAAGCTAGACTGCGAACTGCGTGGGAACAGTGGATGACAGAAGGCGAACACACGTTCACCAAGACAGGTAGACAGCGCCGGCCGACATATGCCTCCATCTGCCAGTGGATCGTAAATGCATAGGCTGATATATCGGTCTCAACTGTGGTCCGAGCTTTCAGGAAGGCTGGAACTGTCACTGAACTGCTAGACAGCAGCAGCGACACTGACTCCATCAATGACGACTTCGAAGAGACGGAGCCGGGCATGTTGGATCCCGTATTCGCCCAACTGTTTAATTCGGACATCGAAGAAGAAGAATTCCAGGGATTTGTGGACGAGAAATAACTTAGTAAAGTGAGCTTTACGTGTTTATTTTCTGTGTTGTGTGATATTAACGTTTGAGCAACGTTGAGTTGAAAAATGTTGCATAGTATGCCTTTAATACACCCAAGTCTCAATATTATTTGACTAATTAACATCTATGACACCCTACTGGGGTGGGAAGTGAATGAGAATTTCAAAACTATAATCTCAGATCAAACAAATACAGAGAAACAGATTATTGCTTTAACTTAATAATAATACTATTAAGACATGATTTGAGCCTTTCATGGGATATAACTGGGGTTGGTTTATTTTACAGACAAACATGAGAACAAACCAGTCAGTTTGGACCATAAACAGCCTGAGAACAGATCAACTGTTTATAACTGGGCAGCCAGAAGGAGAGGTTGTAAATTCTCCATGATAAATATTAGATGGTATCTACATGCCAACCTTTTGCTGTGGAGGCAAGTCAGAAAACGCCTATTTATCACCACCAAAGCATCTGGGTGTTTCTACACCACTCTGTTCAGACAGTTTGTTTAGTATGGTGGAGGACCTGTGGTGCTGTGGGCCTACTAAGAGTTACCTGAGGTACAGGAAGGGGTGCGTGTTCTTGGGAAGGTACGCAGCGTAAACCCTCTCCACCGCCTTCTTCAAAGCGCTCGACTCCACCAGACGGTCTGAAAGAGCAGAGAGCAGAACCTCGGCTAGAGATGGCGCCGACCGGCAAGGAAGGACGCCCAGAGCCCGGACTGCAGCCACCTACGGTTGATGAACAGGACCAGGATGCATTTCTTCACAGAGTAGTTGGCGTTGGAGATGTAGCCTTTTAAGGTGAACGCGAGCTTCGGATCTTCGCAGCCAACTTCGATCAGCTCCCTGAGAAAACGCCACAGAGTCGGTGTTCTGTCAGCTCAGCATTCCGCGCCTTAGTAGTACGCATGTGTGCACATCACTAAGGGTCAGACATCATTAATGATCACGCACGCGCATGATCGTTATTAACGGCTATCAGTCACATAGAATGGCTTCAGATTGTGCCAGTAGGCTCTTATCACGAAGGGAATCCTAATCCTAAAGGAATTATTTTCCCCCCGTGGAATTAATTGCTCTGTTCGAAAACCTGGGACGCGTCCTTAGAAGGCCAGAGTCGAAGGCCGATTACGTCATAGCGCGGCGCTGAGGTCTGGTTGGATTCCAAGAGTCCTCGTTATGCGGCCTTAAAATGCGTCCTTCTTTTTGCCCGATTTGAAGGACGGGTCTGATGTATCCTCGCTATCCTTGGTTTACCCAGGATTCATTGCGAGACCAAGCAAGCTGTGATCAGAGGAAAGGTTACTTGGCGCCGAACAGTGGTGAAAATTGGAAGTTCAGTTTAATATAATACAAGTCATTTAATAGTTCCGTCTGAAATGAATGAAAATAGTTGTTTTAATTGTTTGATTGGTTTAATTGTCAAATATGTGGCGGTAATGTTTGATTTATCTAAAGGTTTTTATCTGTTACTGTATAAATGGGTTTGGCTGGAATTTAAGGACAGATTCTAATATACTGTATCTGCAGAGTGGGAACTATAAATCTGATAGGATTTTTATCTTTTTATTGCTGTTTTGCACAATATGCTTAACTAAGTATTTTTTACTTATATTACTTATATTTTACTTAGATATTTCTTCCCCTTTTATAGAATAGAAAATCCCTTCATTGTCCCCCAATGGGCACATTTACAGCAGCAGGTTATTTAACTGACTAAGGCTTCTATCATTACATTTGATTTTATTTGTTCCTGCTCCCGGCTGTTGGAACATTTATTCCACTCTGGATTCTTGTTAATGTAGTCTTTGTTCACTTTACAATAAAAAAGAAATAAATAAACAAACAGTTTTGAAAACTTCGGTATTCATTCTTTTCCTGCTTTGTGTGACAACTTTCAAGGTTGCTAAGCAACAGAGCAGACCTGTTCGAATTCACAGCCAAAACTCTTCCGGTCTCCTTATTTTCAAGGACTTCGAAGGATCCAGTCTAGGTAGACCGCGTCCTTGGAGGATGCAGCCCAGGTTTGCGAACAGAGCCAATGAATCTATCTATTGTAATCTGAAAATAATTTCAGCAGTTCTTTATGTACTGTAAAAATAAATAAACAAAAATGATCCGAATGTCATTCATGTTAAACTAAAAACAAATAAATCTCATATCCTGTCAACTGGATTGTAGAATTCTCTCTCTATAATTATTTAATTCTCTGTGAAAAAATGCTGATCATTCTTTAATACGATCCTCATGAAAATGAAATGCAATGTTTTTTTTTATTTGTTTTTTTTTATGTGTGTGGTGGACCTTTTTTGTTGTTTTATGCACAAAACTACAACAAAAATCCTGACTGAATCTGGAAATCAAACAGCATGGATGGCTGTAAGGAGACGGAGGACACTATGCAATGCGTATTACTAAGGGTATGCTGGGTTGAAGCGGTACGCTGAGCTGACTGAACACTGGCGGAGTGGTGAGAGAAGATAAAATGTGAAACCTGAGCTAGAAAAGGGAAGCCGAGCTTACCTGCTGACCGCGTTTCCGAAAACGCTGCGGATGTTGTCCACGACGGAGGCGTTAGGAAGCGTCCTCACGTCGGCCACCGTCTCTCCTTGCTGTCAGAGGAAAAGCATCAGTTAATCTGTTGTCCTGCAGGTTTCCTCACTTTAAAGTATTAAAGAAAAACGTAGAAACTTTCACCTTTTTAACTGAGAAGCTTTTACCAGAGTTGTGTATCGCGTACCTTTAAAGACATTAAAGCACAGATTTTACAGATCTGTTCACAAAGAGCAGAAATAATGAGACTGGAGGGAGGAGTCCAGACCTGCTGACCACCTCCACGATCCTGGAGTACTCGTCTCCTGGGCTCTTCAGAGCTTTCCTCCTGGTGGACACGTTATAGAAAAGGTCCTCCACCTGCAGAAGGCGGCAGGATCATCAGAAACCCAAACGCTTCGCTGAGCGTCGGCTGATGTGCTGAAGGCAGAAACTCACAAGGATCTGGGTCCCCTGGTTACCGGCGCACGGCTTGGGCGGGCCCTTCAGTTTGCCATCGCTGTAGCTGGCTCTGCTCAACACCAGATGATAAAACACAGCTGAACATGCTTTAAATGATTCACACCAAACTCTACGCAAGGCAGCGCACATCCATGACCCCAAGCAGGTCCAGTAGGACCAGCTTTAGCTGCAGGCCTTTAAAAGAGGTTCTCCACCAGCATTTTAATGATTCTAATGGATGAAATGAAGGAAGGATACATACCTGTAAGCACACTTTGCATCAGCTGTCTTGGTCGTTATGGTAACATGAGCCACGTGGCTGATACTGGCCAGAGCCTGCAGGAAGGAGCACAGTCAGATCATGTGGAACAGGGACACCTTCCAGCCTGCAGGGCCGCACCGCTCCTCATCACCTCTCCTCTGAACCCATAGGTGGCGATAGCTGACAGGTCCTCAAAGGTCTGCAGTTTGCTGGTGGTGAACCTCTCACAAACAATCTCCATGTCCTCTCTCTGTGGCAGCAAATGAACATTCTGTTAATTAACATTAATCCCTGCTGGACGATCAGAAGACAATCAGAGGTGGTTTGTGATTATTGAATGTCGACATTTGTTATGTCTTCCATAGAGGGGCCATTTCTACCAGGCTTTGGCCCCTGCTGGCTCTTGTCTAGAACCTTCCATGGCTCAGACTAATTAAACTGCCTGACATGTTCTACTGACTAACTGCAGTTATAATATGGTTCTAAAAAACCCTAAATAATGGGAATTAAATGCAAACCTCTCATTAAATTTGTATTTGGACATTTTTTAAACTATCATTTAATTAGGGATCTAAGGAAGAGGATTAGGGCCACTGAATAAAAACGTTAACTGATTTTTACATTTTATTTCAGTTTAATATAAGAAAAAAAAGTCGGAATTCTGAGACTAAAGTCAGAATTTTAAATTAAAGTCAGAATTCTGAAAGGAAAGTCGGAACTCAGAGATTAAAGTTGGGATTCAGAGATTAAAGTCGGGATTCTAAGATTAAATTCAGAATTCTAAAGGCAAAGTAGGAATTCTGAGATTAAAGCCAGAATTTTGAAATGAGAAAATCTCGGAGGGAAAAGTCTGTTTGTAGAAGGAATGAGCAGAAGGAGGCTCCAGCAGGAGTCCTCTGTCTCTCACCCTGATCCCTGTGCCGTTGTCCTGGATCTGGAGGAGCTTCAGGCCTCCGTCCTTCACCGTCACCTGGATGCTGGAAGCCTTTGCATCCAAACTGGAAGATTTTAACCATAAAATGTCCTTCAGTCAGTGACAGACAGACCGTGTTAAACAGATTTAACTAGCAGCAGCAGCTGATACAGCTTATTAAAGCTCCCAGACATCCTGTCTGTTATTAAAACAACTACAGACATATTTCAATATGTTAAATCTGCTTTAATACCAGTTTTCGATCATTTCTTTGACTGCGTTGGCAGGACGCTGGATAACTTCTCCCGCTGCTATCCTGTTAACCACGGTCTCATCGAGCCTCCTGATGACGCCCGCCATGTTGGGCTGTAGAAAAATGTCCGCAACACCTTAGAAGATGTAAAAAAAAAAAAAAAACATATGTGACTGAGGAAACCCAACAGGTCTAAATCAGAATAAAATGATTAAACTCTAGGACGTCCATGATGAGGCGCCCACACCGGCACAGGGAGACAATAAAAACAATATGACATCTGACTCTGACTCAAAATACTATCAGAGATTAATTGTCAAACTGCCGTTTCTCTAACCAGATATAAACAATATATGACTTTTATTTAAAATCATCGCACATCTAAAAGCTGACTGGATGTCCATTTTTAATTAATTCGATTTGCTGGTTTTGATTAGTAATAGTCGTCCAAGTTCAGACGAAGTAATGCATCGGCTCACAATAAACGATCTTTACCGAAGCGCGGGTTCCCAAATAAAAAGGGCGGGGTCTAACACCAGATACAAAACGCCATTGGCCGAAATTCTTCTTCATTGGTACATATTTTGAAACATTACTGCCTTCAGTACGGAAGCCCTAGTGGCCGTTACTACTGCTACTTTATTATTAATATCAATACTAATATTAGTAGCTTTATTTGCATTATTATTATTATTAAACTAAAATAAATTATGTATAACATGGGAAATTTAAAGATACGATAAAGAGACAACAGAAACCAATGGAAAAAAATAAAATAAAACTATAAAAATTCTAGATTTGTTTTCAATTTTTTTCCTACATTACATTTCATCCTTGATATTTAAATATTTTTTACTAAGAATACAAATTACTAGATTACATAACATTTCTTAGAGAGAACATTAATGATGTTTCTTAAAAACCGTTAGGAGAGCTTTTATTGAACATATATTAGATCTAAAAACTGACTGATAAATGTAGTTGATTAAAACCAAAAAATTAAAACTATAAATATAAAATAAAATTATTTTGACTTTGTAATTTTACTACTTTTTCCTCAGGTCTGTAGCTTTAGAAAAATTTAGAACTTCAAAGTCCAGAGCTAAAAGCCATAAAAGGTCAACATCTTCAAAAAGCCAAAAAGAGCCTGTAGTCATGAAAAATTTGGCCCTAAGAGTTTTATTTATTCTTTTAAACTTCTTTCAAACTTTAAACTTCTTCCAAACTTTCAAAAGGATAGTTTGAGCTTTGGGAAAGATTTTTCACTTAATTTCTTACCTGCAGCAGATAATTCTCCTGATGTTTTAATATGGCTTTAAAACGGATATGTATCTGGACCTTGAGTAAACAAAGAAAACAATCAAGGGAGGCCAATATGATACTTTAATTTTTAATCAGTTACTCAGGTAGGAAACATGTTGAATGCTCTGTCCTTTGTACTTTATACTAAAGGCCAAAAGTGGAAAATCCACTGTGTCCTCCATTTCCTGTGTAAATGATCATCGGCCTATGTATATATATATGCCCAATGTTGCCATTTTAATGGGTTATGTTCTTTTAACTGCATTTTGTAAAAACAACCATGAGATTTCTGAAGTGAGTCCTCTTAACATATGACAGTCATGATGGTCTGTCATTTTCAGTCTTTCTTAGACTAGCCTTTAGCTTCCACCGTTCAACACAACAAATCTAACTTATGCTAAATTAATGAATGCTTTCTACTTAATTATTTGTATGGTTTTACCAGAATCATATTGAAAATCTTTCTCCATAGGACTTTAATCCCAGAATCCCTTGCAGATCTTTATTTTTCTGGAGGCATTCCTTTCAAATTTCCTTTTTCTGTACAAGGTTCAGAATCTTTTTGGTGTTTTGTTTTATGCATTAGTAAGACACATTGCAAACAGAATAACTTGGCCTTCAGTCTTTAAATTTTTTATTTTTTTTATTAGCCAAAAGAGGTCAATATTCAAGTTTAGGCAAAAACACTGAAAAAACAAGGAAATCTAAATAGGCCACGAGTGTGAATGTTATCTTTTTTATCATGAATGTTATTTATTTATTTATTTTTTCTCTTTTTTTTATTATTGTTCTTGTTTTTGTCTGTTTATGGACCATAATTGTGTCTAAATAAAGAGATTGATTGATTGATTATCTAATAACGGAGAGAAAAACAGCCAGATTTCCAGCCTATCCAGTCATTAGTTAATCTATCATGCTTCCTTTCCATAAGGCGACTACTCTTATCTTCTACTGTGTGCACAGCTGCGCGGGTCATAGATGGGTCTGCTTCTCAACTCAGAGTTTCTGCTTTAAAGCAATAGACTCTAAAATGTCATATTTGTATTATTATAGTTTTTAAAAATCCATCTATTTGATTTTAGTTTCGTGTTTTTATTCCTCCAGGTGCAAAGGTTCAGAGGTGTCCTGGTTTAGTTATTAGACGGCTAAAAAAGTAGTTACTAAGTGTGGCATTATTAATGCAAATATTTTAAATATGCAATTGGAGATTGGAAAAAAAATCATGTTAATTATTGTTTAATGTTGTAGTTAACCATTAAATCCAGGGGGCTGAGCTTAGACTAAACTGGTGAAGATAACTGGTTTAAATGGACTTCATGTGCAGCTTAACCAATCAGAAGGTGGGATCTACTTGAAGGGTGATATCAGCAGATCAGTATTCAATGCAGTAATGATCACAGGAACTATTGATTTAACATCCAATGAACATTATATTTTTAAATAAACATTTAAAAATTATTTTGGTTTTCATTTAACTATTGTTGTATTGAGATGTATGTATGAATTAAAAGTATCAAATAGATAAAAAAAAAAAAACAGGCTTAAACTCATTTATTTTAGCTTTATATATTTTGTGTTGTGATTACATAACTTACAACTGTGTTGTTGCTTGTTGCTGTGTTTCAGCCTCAGAGAAAATGACCTCAGTTGAAGCCAATGAGGTCATGTGTTGTAAATGCTGCCCTGGGAGTGGTGCTCTTTCAACATGGTGACCATGCAGAATAAGCTGAAATCCTTCAGCTTCTCACCACCTTCCTCAGACTCTAGCAGGCTAGAATAAACTGAACTGGACGGTATGTATGATTCTCCCTGCCGATCAGCTCTATTCTTTACTGGGTTCAACAATCAAAATCAAAAGCAAACAGCTTTTAATTTATACACGTTTCTGCAAAAAGCCCACACATAATTTACATATCATTTTCACATGCAAAATATGCTAAAACATGTAAAACGCAGCTTTTCCAAATGAGAAACATGTTTTTTTTTGTTAATCATTGTGAGTGAATCACATATATAAATTCTACTGACGGACGGTGCCCATGGAGGGACATTTGAAATGATCACTTAACTGGCCTGATACACTATAAACCAGAATTATATGGGCGTAAACCCAGCAGCCACTCAAGGCTGTTTAAAAATATAAGTTTCACAGAAATTATCTCATAACATCCAGACATCTGTTACTACTCACTTAGTATTTTATAAGAGAATAGTAAATGTTTTCTTTTACCAAAATAATATTATGAAGTACTGCCACTCTTACTTGAATTAATATTTTGGCTTCTCTACCAGTCATGAGTAATTCTGCTGGATAAAGAACAAACAAATAAAAATGCACCAAACGCAGACAAATTAGTGCTACTGTTTTTACACACGCTTCAACCTTTTAATGTAACTTTCTGTTTGTTAAACCTGCTATGGCAGTAAACTGTGTCAGTGTAGGCATTTAACCATGTTTCTAAGATATAGTATAAACATTACCTAATGTAAGTATTGCTTTTATAATGTTTGCATAGAAAAAAAGGATGGGGAACATTTTTCTTTTGCTTCTGCAGTTATATTTTGCAACATCATTTAAATGTATTTTAGTTTTCAAAAACACAGAATTTGCACAGAACTTTGTCTTTATCTGTCTGATGTCAGAACTTGAGTAGCCTTCTCGTACTTTTACTTGAGTAAAGTGTAGCATGTCCCAGCTACACTCAGATGGGTAGAGTACCCAAAAGAGTGTAGCTGGCACATGCTAAACATATGTGGTAAACATTGGGTATCATTCCGTATTTAATATTTTTTTAAAGATTATATTGCCCCATTAACACCTGACACCTATGTCAACAAGGGATGGAACGGTTTATGAAAACTGTCCGAACCGTTCGGTTCGACTGTCTCGGTTCGATTCGTGTGTGTTGCGTTCGGTTCATGCGCTGCTCCTTTTTCTCAAAGGCGAAGTGTTTACACTCCAGAGCAGAAGGTGGCGGTACTGCGACCAAAACCAACCACCGGTAGTAAACAAAAAGAAGAAGCGAAGCAGCGTAGCCGGGTGTAACAGAAAAAAATCAGTTGTTGTGGAGAATTGTGTGGGTATGGCAAGTGGGAAAGAACAGGAGTTGGAAGACGCGCCAGCAGCACTTTATAGGTCTGCTGTATGGGACCACTTTGCATTTAAAGTGATCTACCTAAGTTGTGGATAAAAACAGTGTGCAAGCATTGTGCAACACGTTTTGTTTATGCCAACAGCAACACGACCAACATGTCAGGCTAACAATCAACATATACCGAACCGAAAACCGTGACCACGAAACCGTGAACCGAACCATGAATTTTGTGAACCGTTCCACCCCTAATGTCAACATCAGGGGTAGGCAAAGTTGGTCTTTGAGTGCCACTATCCTTTAGCTTTTGCATGCTTCCCTGTTCCAACACCCCTGAAACAAATGGCCAGGCCTCTTCTAGACCTGCTGACCTGCCATTGAGGTCATTCACTCCTTTGGCTTCAGATGTTTTGAAACAGGGATACAGGACAGAGGCACTTGAGGACCAACATTGTCCTACTCGTAGTCTACAAGTTACCCTTGTATTCACATTTCTACTCCAGGACTCCTAGACTTCCCTTTCCATAGAAACGTCATCCAGCTCCTCTGGGGGAAGTCTGAGGTGTTACGGGCCAATCAAAGGACAGTTCCTCAAGCCTGTCCTGGGTCGTCCCCTAGGTCTCCTCCTGGTAGGACGTACCTCAAGCACCTCCCAAGGGAACCGTCTGGGGGGACGTCTGAAACAGATGCCTTAGTCACCCGAGCTGACTGTTCTTGATGGTGAGGAGAGCTCATCTGCCTTTGTCTAAGA